AAGAGGCGCAGGCGGGTGAATTCGGACTGTGACTCTGTGTTACCCTCCAACTTTCTCCTGGGGGGCAATATCTTTGATCCCCTGAACCTGAATAGCCTCCTGGATGAGGAAGTGAGCCGCGCCCTCAACGCAGAGACCCCTAAGTCATCCCCCCTTCCGGCCAAAGGGCGAGATCCAGTGGAGATCCTCATCCCCAAAGATATTACTGACCCGCTCAGTCTCAATACTTGCACTGATGAGGGCCATGTAGTTCTTGCTTCGCCACTCAAGACTGGTCGGAAGCGGCATAGACACCGGGGACAGCACCACCAGCAGCAGCAGGCAGCCGGAGGGAGTGAGAGCCACCCCGTGCTGCCCACAGCCCCTCTCACCCCCTCACTCCACGGGGAGGGCGCCTCACAGCAGCCGCGGCACAGAGGCCAGAACCGGGATGCCCCCCAACCCTATGAACTCAACACAGCCATCAACTGCAGGGATGAAGTGGTGTCTCCGCTTCCATCTGCTCTACAGGGTCCCTCAGGCTCCCTATCAGCCCCTCCAGCTGCCTCAGTTACCTCTGCACCCCCATCTTCCTCCTCCCGACATCGCAAACGTCGCAGGACTTCCAGCAAGTCGGAGGCAGGGGCTAGGGGTGGAGGCCAGGGTTCCAAGGAAAAGGGCCGAGGGAGTTGGGGAGGCCGTCACCACCACCACCACCCACTGCCTGCAGCAGGCTTCAAAAAGCAACAGCGCAAGTTCCAGTATGGGAATTACTGCAAATACTATGGGTACCGCAATCCTTCCTGTGAGGATGGGCGCCTTCGGGTGTTGAAGCCTGAGTGGTTTCGGGGCCGGGACGTCCTAGATCTGGGCTGCAATGTGGGCCATCTGACCCTGAGCATTGCCTGCAAGTGGGGCCCGTCCCGCATGGTGGGCTTGGATATAGATTCCCGGCTCATCCATTCTGCCCGTCAGAACATCCGACACTACCTTTCCGAGGAGCTGCGTCTCCCACCTCAGACTGTGGAAGGGGACCCCGGGGCAGAGGGTGAGGAAGGGACCACCACCGTTCGAAAGAGGAGCTGCTTCCCAGCCTCGCTGACTGCCAGCCGGGGTCCCATCGCTGCCCCCCAAGTGCCCTTGGATGGAGCGGACACATCAGTCTTCCCCAACAATGTTGTCTTCGTCACGGTAAGAGGGTCCAGAGGCTCTTGGAATAGGGGTCAGGTGTGAAGATGAGATTAAACGGGAATGTGGCAGGGAAGGTTATGACCCAGTTCCTCAAAAGAGGCGTCTGGGTTGGCAAGTGAGAGTCTCTGCTGGGCGTCTCTCCCCTCTTATAACCTGGAAAGGTGGGGTCTCTACCTTGGGGCATTGACCCTGGAGTCCTTTCTCATGACTGCAAGGATCTCCAAGATAAAGGAAGACTCTCTTTTTTTTTGCAGTGCTGTGGGCTTGGCCTATAATCCACACTGGTCCACCTTCCCTTCCCTTGAAGGCTGCTGCTCACTAGGGAATTCGATCCAGGTGGAACTTGGTCCTCAGATTGACTGAAGGAGCCTGAGAATGGGGGTCGGGCATGGAATGTCTTCTAGGAAGATTAGGGTAGCAGCAGACTAATATTGGCGTTTCTGCCCTTTGATAGCCACCTTGCTCCCATCAGCGGCTTTTGTTTTTCTAGACAGTTTGTTGAAGAGTGTCAGGAACTCAAGTGACTTGGCTGTAGATCCTCTCCACATTGACTCTAGATAATGGGAGAGGGAAGAACCAGAAACTCCTCTGCAGAGAGGAGAGCCCCATGCCCCACGGAGTCCCCTGACCCCACACAGCTCCCCAGAGAACTCTCCAGTTAGGCCACCTGCTGGGATCTTTGGCATTGCATTGGGTTAAGCCTTGAAGAATGGTCTTTTTAGAGGGTTGTGATGAGCTTATCTTCTAGAAAAGGCTTTCTAAAGGATGTGGCTCTTCATTTCTCTCAGAGAAAGGAAAGAATAGGCGTGAAACTTTGCCAGCCCCAACTGCGGGGAAGGAACCACAGGTCTGCCTTTGAAACCTGGGTTGGTTACCCTTGCAAAACCTGCAGTCACTCCACTTAATGTCTGTGGGTGAGAATAAGCACAGGATATGGTCCTGGGACCCCAGCTATAGAAGACCTCATGGATAATTTGCAACATTTAAAAAATTACTCCGGCTCCCTCAACATTTTTGGCTTACCATCAGTAGTAAGAAGCAGAGGCAGGAAGGTGTAGAGGAGAAAACAAAACTCAAAGAGGGCAGGCACCTTTTGGGAGTTAGTCTGAGAAGAACGTGGCCACGGGCTAAAGTGAGGCGGCAGGACTCCATCGGCCTCAGAGCAGGTTGCCTGGGAGCAGGGGTTCTTCGATTCCCTCCGTTGACCTCACTGCCTGCTGATACTTGCCCTCAGGGTAATTATGTGCTGGATCGAGATGACCTGGTGGAGGCCCAAACACCTGAGTATGATGTGGTGCTCTGCCTCAGCCTCACCAAGTGGGTGCATCTGAACTGGGGAGATGAGGGCCTGAAGCGCATGTTTCGCCGGATCTACCGGCACCTACGCCCTGGAGGCATCCTGGTTCTAGAGCCCCAACCCTGGTCGTCGTATGGCAAGAGAAAGACCCTTACGGTGAGTTGGGTGTGGAGGGAATAATCCTTCCTTTGGTTGAGGCAAGAAAAGACCCTGAGGTGGGCATCGCCCTTGGCCAGGGGAGGTGGCAGTGTGTTGAAGTGTGGTCCCTTGCCCCTCTCCTTAGGAAACAATCTACAAGAACTACTACCGAATCCAACTGAAGCCAGAGCAGTTCAGTTCCTACCTGACATCCCCAGACGTGGGCTTCTCCAGCTATGAGCTTGTGGCCACACCCCACAACACCTCTAAAGGTAAGGCTGGTTTATTTTGTCCGGGAGGCTGGTCCTGGCTAAAAGAGTGCAGACCCCCGTGGGGATTCTTGAGGTGCTGCCAACCCCTTCTGATCACTCCCTCTCCCCTCCTCCCCTCAGGCTTCCAGCGTCCTGTGTACCTGTTCCACAAGGCCCGATCCCCCAGCCACTAAGTGGCCCCCTGAACAGAAAGTGTGAAGAGGATGCCCTTGCTGCTCCCAAGGACCTGGGGGAAGAGGAAAGTGTCCCAGGGTCTTTCCTGACTCCAAAAATAGTTTCCTTTCTTGGATCTGCAAAGAAAGCTTTTCTTCCATCGCTGCCTCAGCCTCCTCCCTACGCCTCTGGCACCTGTGCAGCAAGGCTGGCTGTGCTGGAGTCACCATCATCTTCCTCTCCCCCAGCCTCCCAGGCTGGATGGCATGGACTGTTTGCTGACCTCTGTTCTCTTAGGGTATGGGAGGTGGGAGGATATCAAATTCTCTAGCCCTTTCCTCCTATTCTCCCAAGGAGAGAGATTCCCATTTCTCCTCGGCTGTTGTCCCTAGCTCTTGTCCCTAGCTGCATTTCAGTGGACCATGGATAGATGGACTGAGGGTTCGAGGGGGAAGCCTGGCAGGGAGGCACGCAGGTACTGTGAAAATCCTTCCCTCTGTCCTCCCCCAGTGGGAGAGGGGGTTGGGTTTTGAATGTGAGAACAGCACAATAAACTTGATGTCTAGGGCAGTGGCCCCCACACCTGTGTTGGGTACGATCTAGCTGGTGGGGGATGGGTGGTGCCTCCCACCAGAACTTGTGTTGTTTCTCTCTACTGTTTGAAGGAAGACAAGTTTTTCAGTGGTTGGGTTGATTGTTCAACACTAGTCAAGTCCACACGCAAGTATACAGAAGCCTAGTTAGGAAAAGGTGTGTAATGCAAATTTTGGTGTGGAACTTGGAGTCTGCCTTCCCTCCCCAGAAAAACCCTGTACGGGCTTCGGGCAGAAGGCTAACTTTTCAGTTTTTGTTTTTCCGAGATGGAGATTCGTTCTGTCGACAGGCTGGAGAGCAGTGGTGTGATCTCGGCTTACTGCAACCTCCACCTCCCTGGTTCAAGTGATTCTCCTGTCTCAGCCTCCCAAGTAGCTGGGATTACAGGCACGCGCCACCATGCCCAGCTAATTTTTTGTATTTTTAGTAGACACAGGGTTTCACCATGTTGACTAGTCTGGTCTCAAAACTCCTGACCTCAGGTGATCCACCCACCTCAGCCTCCCAAAGTGCTAGGATTATAGGCGCCAGCCACTGCACCCA